TCTCATCGTATGCTCTCAACCAGTTTGCATATAAAATTGAATTCATTTATGTGCCTAAGATCTCTCAGCAAAATGTTTAATTTGAATCAAAATCACAAATGCCATGTTCTCAAAACTGGTTTGCGGTTCACATGTCGCTCATTTGTTCTACAGAGGGGTTATTAGAATACAAGGCTTAAAAGCAAGTGTTGCACTAAGTGACTGACCAGTTGCCAGTTACCTCAGGCATGTCAAGATGCACAGCTCACTGGAGAGCAATACCCTCGGTCCCAATGTGTGGGACTACGACATGGTACTGGACAAGATAGGTAACTAGCTCAAGTGTCGAATTTCGAGTTGATGCTGATGATTAATTGGAAATTAATCAAATCAGGCTATGGCAAAACGCAATGGGTGCTCCTGCTCGTCAGCGGACTGATGACAATCACATCCGTTGCAGCCCAACAGGCCATGGGTATCATTGTGATCGCCTCGCAGTGCGAGTTTGAAACCACACAGGCCGAGAAGGGCGTGATGATGGCGGCTAGTGTTACAGGTGAGGCATAACGAAGTGAGTAGGCGGTATTCACAGAGATCACAATGGAAATTCGCGATGTGTGCACAGGCATCTTCCTATCGACCTACATATGGGGCTACATCAGCGATGATATAGGGCGCCGGAGGGTTTTACTTTATGGGAGCTTCGCTAGCAATGCCCTGCAGTTCGTTCTAATGTTCGTTACCAGCATCTGGCTATTTAACATTATCAATCTTCTCGTTGGAATAAGGTGAGTACGAACTAAACCCTAATTCATTGTACAAATCTTTGATGCTTCCATGTTGGAATTCTCACATTCAATTGTTATATGAATGCAGTCTCGGCGCGGTGTCAGCAGCACTCTATGCATATCTAAGTGAATTCAATATACCACGACATCGCGCAGTGGCGATTAACTATTCGACAATGTTTGTTAGTGTTACGGCAATATATGTTCCAGGTATGCTTGATTACCCATGGATACAATAGATTTATTAACTAAATTCTTTGACCTTACAGCAACTGCTTGGTTGGTACTCTCGTCGAACTGGGCACTCACAATAGGAGATTTTGTGTTTCGGCCATGGCGTTTGCTGTTGCTGGTTAGTCTACTACCAGGATTTATTGGCGGCTTGGTATTACTTTATTATCCTGAAAGCCCCATGTTCTTACTGTCCCAAGAAAAGAACACCGATGCAATTGAAGCTGTGGCCTGGATCAGTAAATTTAACAGGGGAAAATCCATACAGCAAATTCTGAACTGCGAAGAATTTACACTGAAGTCCGCGGATCCAGTCGGCGAAAACTTGTTGGGCGAAAGCCAAGGATGTGGTATATTATCCAAAATATGCAGAGCTACCATTCCACTTTTCCATAAGCCCCATAGATTTAATGTTATTCTTTGTAACTTGGCATTATTCGGAATATTTTTCAGGTAATCTTCAATGGTGTTAGACTTTCAGTAGCTAATTAAAATTATAAATCATTTTTATTTTTGTAGTACAAATGGAATCCAGCTTTGGTTTCCCGAAATTGTAAATCGGTCATCAGGTGCCGAAAGGAACTCTTCAACAGTATGCGAAATTCTCAGCGAATCCGCAGAACAACCCAATGTAACAGAAACCATGGTGAATATGAAAATATTTTAATACTTGTAAAGTCCCTCATCTAAATACAAACTTTTTATTTTAGGACTGCACCGATGCTATTAGTAGCAAAACCTATATAGACAACCTCATTGTAGGTTTCGCATTTCTGATTGGATTCTCGATTCAAGGACTGATACTTAATCCTTTGGGCCGTAAAAACGTACTTTTAGGTGCTCTAGCACTTGCGGCATTAAGTGGAGTCCTCTTGCACTTCATGGAAAGTCCAACAGGAGTGCTTGTTCTCTTCTGCCTTTACATTCTTCTGCCTGGGCTTTCGATTTCAATTATGATTGGTGCCATTGTTGATTTGGTACCTACACATTTGAGGTGAATGTTGTATTATTTAATTTATGTTTAGATAACTATATGCTTTTCCGACCAGGTCCAAGGCAGTTAGCTTCTGCATGTCTCTGGGAAGACTTGGGATCATTGCATCTACGAACTTAATGGGTGTTATGCTGCAACCTTATTGCAACACAACTTTTGCCATATTTACGTGCACTCTAATTGGTAAGTAATTGAAGTACTTAAATATCTTTAACTTTTATTATTCCTTTTATTTCAGTTTGCATTGTTATCGTTCATAACCTACCAATTCGGAACTTAGCTTAATGAAATGTTAATTTTTCTATTTGTATATTTTTCTTTCTTAATGTTTATTATTAAACTTATACAAAACTTTTTGAGCTTTTGTCTATTATAACTTAAAATGGTGACCTCAGTTCAAGTTCAAAAAGCCGTTACTTTATTCAAGACTACTCATATATCGATAACAATGTATAGGCACATTTCTAGTGGCAAGAATACCCCAGCTGAAATGCATGTTTCTTACGATATCTTTGATGATATCGATAACCTGCGCCACATAATATTGATAATATACAATACTTTGCAACTTTTCCGCCGGCAATTTTCCCAGAAAGTCCGGATTATGGCGCCTCCGTCTGCGCGCGCCCGTTACATAGCCAACAAGGCGGACAACCAGATTCTCTCAAAGAAGCCGCCCAAAAGACCGGGTCTGAACGGCAACAACAAGGCCAAGGAAGCCGCACCGGCCGGCAAAAAGAAGGATAAAGATGCCAAAAAGCGGTAAGTATTGGTCTGCAAATTCTGAATTCAACTAATCGCATTTATTTATCCGCCGCAGCAACATACCTACGAGTGGTGGGCAGGAGAGGGGAATGCCCAATCCCATAATGCCCAGTGTCCAGACCGCCTTCAAAACCTTCGTGAGTGCCCGATTGTGCAGCGCCATTTGGGCGTACATAGCCGACTGCGACGAGACCTTCAACTACTGGGAGCCGCTGCACTACATCATCAATGGCCATGGGCTCCAGACGTGGGAATACAGTCCGCAGTTCGGACTCCGATCGTACACCTACCTATTACTGCAGGGCGTGCCCGGATACTTTTACCAAAAGCTGTTCAATCCCAGTCCCATTCTCATCTTCTACATGGTGAGATGTATGTTGGGTTTCGGTTGTGCCGTAATGGAGCGATATATGTACAAGTAAGCATGACAATATTACCAAATACTGTCCAAAATTAATATAACTTTATTTTAGGTCCATTTGCCAAGAGTTTGGAATTCACATCGGTCGTCTGTGGCTAATATTTCAACTCTTCAGTGTGGGCATGTTTGTGTCCAGCACCGCTCTACTGCCCTCCTCCTTTTCTATGTACTTCGGTTGTGCTGCCCTAGCCGCCTGGTGGCAACAAAATTACTGTTTTGCCATATTTCTGACAGCCATATCCGCTTTGCTGGGTTGGCCATTTGCTGCACTTATTGGCATTCCGCTGGTGCTGGAGATGCTGCTAAGGCAGCGGGATTGGAAGACCTTTGTTCAGTGGACGTTGATATCGGGCGCCACGGTTGCCATTCCCATGATTGCCATTGATACCAGCTACTTTGGTAAACTGACATTTGCTCCTTTAAATATTGTGTGGTACAATGTGTTTACCAGCCACGGACCTAACATCTTTGGCACGGAGCCACTAAGTTACTACATCATCAATGGTTTCCTTAACTTTAATATTATTTGGGTGAGCTATTGTATCTATTACCTCTTTTCAATTTATGAAAACTTTTTCCCTTATAGCTCCTGGCCCTTCAACTACCCATAATGCTGGTCATGGACTATTTGATTGTGCCAGCCAAATCAAAGTCGACGTTAAATTTCCCCCACTACATCTCACTGGCTCCCCTGTACCTGTGGCTTCTTGTCTTCTTTGCACAGCCGCATAAGGAAGAGCGCTTTCTGTTCCCCGTATATCCTCTAATCTCGCTTTGTGGAGCCATCACTGTGGATGTGTATCAGCGCATTTTCTTCCGCTTCAAATCGCTGGTATTCAAAATTAAGGCGGGAGTTCATTATCTGGATCACAGCATGTTCATTGCCATCCTGGTAATGGTGACCAGCACATTGTTGGGACTTTCCAGGGTGTTTGCCCTGTACAGGAACTACCATGCCCCGATGGATTTGATGCTGGAGCTAAACCAGTTTAAGGCGACACCACAATACGACCCGGATGTGATATACAACGTGTGTATTGGCAAAGATTGGCATCGATATCCGGGAAGCTTCTTCTTTCCCGCCAAAAACTTCCGACTGCGTTTCCTGAAATCTGAGTTCCGGGGCATGCTCCCTGCATACTATGACGAAGGCCAAAATGCTACTAAAGTAGTGCAACCGTATTTTAACGATCTCAATCAGGAAAATGAACACATGTACTTTGATTACGACCGTTGCGATTTCCTCGTCGACTTTGATGAAGGCAAGTATACGGCTCTGGAACCCAACTATTCGAAACGATCCAAAGATTGGTCGGTGATGAAGAGCCTGCCCTTCCTCATTCCGGAGAAGTCGCACAAGGTGTTACGTGCCTTCTATGTGCCATTCCTGACCGACAATCACATTCAGTACGGAGACTTCAACCTGCTCAAGCGAAAGACGAAACGAAATGGCAGGTAAAGGCAGGCCCAGATGGAAGGGGTCTGGAGTCATGCAACAAAAACTGCAATGTATCCTTAGCATATGGGGTGGCTCTCTAATTCTTTTAATACAAAAAACGCATTAATCTTAAAATAATTCCAGGAAATTATGATTAAGAAACTATAGCTTCAATTCATATTGAATTTATAGTGATTTAAAGATACTTTTCCACCCCTGAGAGCTCTTTTCTGTATTCCAATTAATCTTTCTTACCCAGCATTGAATTTGAAGTATCCTAATATCTGTTCTAAGTCAGTGAAACGTTTTTAACTCTAGTTATTTTTGTTTTGTCCATGCCAAAGTTGTGAAGATCACCAGAATCGAAGTAGAACATAAGCGTCAAGAATATAAACAACGAGATTCGTAAGGAAAACTGTTTGCATGGAAGGGGCCAACATGCTTGAATAGTCGAAAACTTTATTGGACGGATCCTCTTACAATCTGGGAAGCAAAACTTTACAATGGAAATCGCTTGGACTTAGTCTAGATCTGGTGCTGAGTCTGTTTACAATGCTATATTTGGTCTACTCAATGTACATACACGTGTGCGGGGCCTAAACCTAATCCTAAACTGACTTAGCAGCGATATTTACAAGCTCTCCGGGAGTAGCTGGCTCCCCTCCTGCGCTCTAAAAGTAGACCGTCAAGTTGTTCTCCGAGGAGCCCATGGCATCGGTGGCGGATAGAAGATTGGAGCCCGCATGGGCGGGGGTGGTGCTGATGGTGGTGACCCCGCCGCTTGCCGCTCCCGTGGCAGCCACTTTCCGGTTGTTGTTCTCCGTCTGCAGTGAGTCGTGCTCGATCTCATCCTCCTCGAAGAGCTGGCCGTTGGCGGAAGCACGCGAAACTATGCCTGGCAAGAAGACTTTTAATAGTGAATGTGTCGGGTGAGAATGGGGGCAGTATGTTGGGAAGGATCATAGATGCAAATCTAATTTATTACTTTCTTAATTTGTACGCTATTAATTTTTAATTTACTTTGTAATTTGAATGAACTAAGTTATCGACTAGCACCATTGGGAATGATAATGATTGACTTGCACTTACTGCGCACTGTGGCCGCATAGCTCTCCCGCTGGCGCTCCCGGTCCCGCTCCCTCTCTCGTTCCCGCTCCAACAAGGCGGCGGAACTACCGAGGGCCATGCTACTGCTGGCTCCACTGGCCACGTGATGCAAGCCATTGTTCATCGGATTGGCCATGGTGATATTACCGCCGTGCTTCATGTGCAGCACGGAGACTCCGCCGCTTGTTACACTGGCTCCGTTGCCGTTGCCGTTGCCATTCCCCGCCAGCTTTTCGTGGGTAACCAGATTGGCCGACGACACGCTGCTGTGCGCCTGGCTGTGCACCCGATTCCGACCGAGTCCCAATCCACTGGATGCACTCTTGCCTTGCTTCTTCGATCGCACTATGTAGCAGCTGAGCGCCACTATGATCATCAGAAAGAGGCCCACAATCATGCCGAACATGCCCAACATGTTGCTGTTCCATCCGGACCGAGCCAGGGTCAGACCCTCCATGGTGACACTCACCGGAACGGAAGTGCTTCTGGGTGGCACGCCCGTGTCCGTGGCGATGGCTATCAGATGAACCGTGGACTCGTTTAAACTCTGTAGCTGCTCGGGTCGCATGTAGATGTTTCCAATGGAATCAATTTCGAACAGTCCGGCGTGCTGACCACGCAACGAGAGTTCCAGTTTGTCATTGCGATCCCCGTCCGCAGCCTCCACCTTGCCGATGAGCACGCCCTCGAAGGAATCCGCGCGGGATTGCAGAGACTGCTGGATGTGAGAAATTTTAAAGGTAAGATTAAGAAGTAAAATATCGCTTTTTAAACACTTACGCTTTTGGGCACCATAAACTCGTAGTGCGTTTCCCGGAATCGAGGTTCCCAGTCATTGACGTCAATTACCTCCAGTGTTAGTTCCGCGGTGCTGTTGGTCATGCCATCGGTGGCCAGGACTTGGAACTCGTGCTTGGTCATCTTCTCGTAATCGAGTGGCTTGGCTAGAACAAGTTCTCCCAGCGATCCTACGCTGAAGAACTGGGAATTCACGGGGTCGGGAATGATGTACTTGAGGTGTTTGCCGGGCTTATTGGTGGGCAGTGCTAGAATTCGATTTCCTACTGCCGTATCCTCGCGAATGCGCATTACGAATCGCTTCTGGACAAAGGCCAGAGTGCTCAAGTCGCTGTGACTGCCAGGTCGCGTCAACTGGACGGTGGTCAAGGCATAACGATCTGGATTGTCGATCTGCGTGGCCTTTACCACCAATGTGGCTCCGTTGGCCACATCCGCATATCCAATGGGTGTTAACAGGCTAATTGCTCCATTGTGCGGATGGATGCGGAAGTACTTGGCATCCTGCGACTGGACTATCGTGTACTGAATGGGCGCACAAATACCCTCGTCCTGATCCACCGCCTTCATTGGCTCCGGCCGCATGCGTAACTCTCCTGGCCTACCATCCGCTGGTATCTCAGCGCTGTAGGACTCCCGCTGGAACTTTGGGTTCTGGTCATCAGCATCCGTGATGACCACCCGCAGCAGCGTGTCCGAGTGACGCGGCGGTGTGCCCTGATCCTGGGCCCTCAACTTCACTGTGAAATTCTGCAGTTGCTCGTAGTCGAGAGCTTTCTTTAGCACCAGCGTGCCCTCCAGAGGATTGAGGAACTGCACGTACTCCGAGTACGGACCTGACAGCACCTGATACTCCACCGTAGAGAAGGGACCCGGCTGGTCTGCGTCCTCGGCACGGGCTCCCTGCAGGATTCTTGTGCCCGGGACGGTCACCTCCGAAAGGGTTAAAGTGTAGGGCGTTCCGATCCACTGGGGAGCATTGTCATTCACATCGGTTACTCGCACATTCACGGGAATGACGAAGCTCTGTGGTTGAGATTGATTGAGGTGCAAATTAAGTAAGAAAGGTATACACTTAAAAAATGCCAAATTCTTTTACTCTTCGAAACACAAAACCATAAATATCTTATTGACTGCTAACTCGATTTATTTCATTAGGAAATTCGGATATTAGTTCGACATTTTATATATTTTTAGGCACTTTTACGAGCAAGTACCCCTTTTTTCCCTGTGTAGAGCAACCCATTTTCGAGTGTATGCACTTGAAGACAAACACCTTACTTTTAGCACATGTGCTGGTCACTGACCTCGCAGGAGTTCAAAGCCCAAGCACGCCGCCGAATGTCCTGCATACATTTGCATGTTTAGCGGACCTCGCTCCCCAAATCAGGACATCCCCGCCACCTTCAACCCCCAGCTAGATTTCTACCCGCAAACGGAAGCCTTAATGGCTAATTTATGGCCACGAAGTTGGGTCTAACCGCAGGCGCCAAAGGGGTTGAAGCATTCTTTTGGGCCTGCAGAGCCAGGAAACTAGTGGTGGTTCGACCAAACTCTGTGATCTCAAGATGATCGCTCGAGTGGCGAAAGGTGTTTACTGTCTAGAACCTATATGATGACAAATATATGTAATAGCTGCCTAGAAAATAACCCGATATTCGTTGGAAATGAATGCATTGTTAATCTGTTTCAAATCTTGTTTCCACCTTCGAAGGCTCCTTCGCGTTTAAATGGACTTGCAGTAGTTGCCGTTGAAGTAGGAACTAGCGCTTTGTTGATTCTAAAATTGAAATGGGCGTTGTGTCTGGCAAGTTTTCAATTGTTTATAGAGTGCCTCGAATAGCCGCAACGCCGGGAACCGTGTTTACCAAAATTTAACAAAGCTTAGCTAGCCCAGGGGGAACACGCACTACTTGGAGGAGGTATGGCGGCATGGGTTCAAGAAGGTGGCCACTTGCTCTATATAGGTTAATTGGATGCCCATTGAATTGCACGAACGGGTGCTTCGCAGGTGCGGAATGCGGTTCAGAAGTGGCCGACAGGAAGGGCTTCAAGGAAATGTGGTCTATGTGGGTCAACGACCAGGACGTCTGATTAATTGCGGCGTTAGCCTGATCGACAAGTTCTTAGCCACCACTTTCGGTGGTTTAATTCGACTGGCTGGCTATATGGTTTCCGATAATGCTAACCCTAACTAATTCCTATCCACCCTAGTTTCTTGGGGGTTCCTCCTAAGAAAAGACCATTAGTATAGATAGAGGGATGAAATGCTTACCGGATCCGTTGAATGCCGTCGTATGCAGATCACATTCACGTAGATGGACGAAGGACCTCTAACACCCTCCTTGTCCAATTCCACCGATAGGGCCAGCTCCTTGGTGCCTGGATGAATCTCAACTGGAGCATTCTTTTCCCTCAATGAAAGGTTGATGTCGCCTGTTTCCGGATTGGCATCTCCGTTGATCCTCAGCTTGCCGATTATGGAGCCTACCGCCAGATCCTCGGTGGCGAGAAAACTTTCCGCGGAACCTCCGCCCTCCAGATAGCAACGAGAGTCCAGAATGGCTCCCAGAGTAGCTACAATTGAGGGAAATTGTATATGTTAGTAATATCCATAGTCTAGAGTATCTAGTATACCTCTAAATGTTTCTGGCGCAATTCTCTAAAAATGTGCATTCAAATTTAGAAATTTTTTTTTTTTTAATTTTTTTGATGTATGATGTAGAAATTCAAATAATGTCCCAAGGCTGAAGCTCTAAACTCCATAACTCAGCTTATCTTAATCGGAATTTGAAGTGACATACCTCTAAATGTTTCTGGCGCAATTCTCTAATAAACTGCATTCAAATTTAGAAATTAATTTTTTTTACATTTTTTTGTAATTTTTCTGATGTATGATGTTGTAGAAATTCCAAAAAATTAAGAAATGTCCCAAGGCTGAAGTTCTAAACTCCATAACTCAGCTTATCTTAATCGGAATTTGGAGTGGCATACCTTAAAATTTTTCTGGCGCAATTCTCTAATAAACTGCATTCAAATTTAGAAATTAATTTTTTTTACATTTTTTTGTAATTTTTCTGATGTATGATGTTCTAGAAATTCCAAAAAATTAAGAAATGTCCCAAGACTGAAGTTCTAAACTCCATAACTCAGCTTATCTTCATCGGAATTTGGAGTGGCATACCTTAAAATTTTTCTGGCGCAATTCTCTAATAAACTGCATTCAAATTTAGAAATTAATTTTTTTTACATTTTTTTGTAATTTTTCTGATGTATGATGTTGTAGAAACTCCATAACTCAGCTTATCTTCATCGGAATTTGGAGTGGCATACCTTAAAATGTTTCTGGCGCAATTCTCTAATAAACTGCATTCAAATTTAGAAATTAATTTTTTTTAAATTTTGATGTAATTTGATGTTATGAAGTTGTAGAAATTCGAAAATATTAACTTTATCTATCTTTATTTATGTTTAATTATAGCACTTTATCTTGTTTTGACCTAAAAAGTGGTGTAGGAAATACCATGTCCGAGTATCGGTCTGCAAATTGGACTCTCTCCCTTTCAGGCTTACTTTCGGTCCGTCCTGATAATTGCAAATTAAAAGTAAATTGCAGCGACAGGCAGAGGAAGCCACCACATGGATGGACCGGACGGTCCAGTGTTTGTGTTCCAGTGAGCCACCTGTCCGAATCACCAGACATGTTTGTTCGTACCTCGGATACGCTCTACTAAGCTTCCGTTTTCTTTCATTTCGAGTGCTGCAATTTTGGGCCAGAGCTGCAGAAGCGAAGAGCAACCACCGTGGGTCCCAGTGGATATCCATGTGGGTAACTGGCCACATGGAACAACTCTTTGGCCGCTTCGCAGCTGATTTGCGTTTCCGGACAAGCTCTGATATCTAATTGTGTTAGTGTGCAATGGGTAAACTTGGAAGGGTCATGCAAATGGATGCAAACACTTGCGCTCCTCGTATGCAAATTGGTTCAAGTTTGTGCGGAAAAAAACTAGAAGAAAGTCTCTAATTCTCGGCCTATTTTCCAAACTACACATTTGTGTATCTTAAATGGCACATTTATATGGATGTAATGGTTTCAAACCACGACCAATTACTTAACTCCCATGGGAGCATGACATAACACCTTCTTTGGGCAGTGCAATTATAATCTTGCAAGTATCTCCCCTGAAATGTTCCGGTTTACACCTCCAGCCCCTTGACCATCTTAAGAACAAGTTCTAACTATGTGTTAACAGTATAACTTCAGCTTGTATCTTTTATTTTTTTAATTTTGTTCTGGTAAACGGTTGTCGGTTTACAAACGACTTGGAATGACCCTGACTGTGGGTCGCCAGTCATCTCCGGCGGGATTTTCTCCATACGAGTTACGGATACAACTGAGATGTGGCAGAGTGAAATCTTCTAGCAGTGTTTTCAAGATCTCCGTTGTGGGTTAATTGTTGTGACATTGGGCAATGCACATGGCAATGAAGAGCTCCGTTCGTAGACTTTCTTCGACAGTTAAAAGTGTTTTGAAAATTAGTCTAATTGCTGCGGATTTATTACAAAATCTCTCAGATGTGTGCTGATAGCTCACGTACATGCACTACTTTCTGGAGAAAATGGAAAGTTTTATAATCGTAATCTTAAATCGGGACTACGCACTGGAATCCCGCACAGAAATTACCCAACTATCCTACCAATTAGTAACGAATGCATGTATGCAATCCGCTTTATTTAAAAACCAAGACTAATTAGAGTCATTGGATTCCAAAACTCATCCATAAGCCGCAAATACCTGAAGCGTAAATCCGCGAAGCTTTACCCAAATAGAGTGGAGATTAAATAGCGAACCAAAAACCAAAAACCCACCTAAACATTACATAAGTTCTACTCTTATTTTTATTTTTTGCCAAGTGGGAGAGTGTAAGACAAATGAAAGTGAGTTGGCGGCTGAACAAATTTGCCCGAAATACGAAAATACGTGAATGCGCATATGGATATGGATGTGGTGGAGAAAAGTTTCAACAATCAAAAAGTTCAGAAAACAAATTTTCATTTGGTTTGTTTTGGTTTCTTTTGATAAAACAAAAGCATGAAAGCCCAAAAAGAGAAAAAGTGTCCGTTCAGCTTGGTGATTTTCATGAAAACGCCAACGAAACGACAAACTCCTCGGTCTGGGCCACTGACTTTGGCCAAAGGTATATAGTTATATAGGTATAGGGCTTTTTTTTTGGAATTCCGATTCCAAACAGCAACTTGTGGCTCCATGCCTGATGCGAGTTCTGTCTGGTTAAACATCGTAAGCATCGACATAAGTATTTCGCAATCAATTTTGTGGCACAGGTCAAGCCATGCCAGCTACATACGAGTATATGGCAAGCCCGTTAAGGAAGAACTTGAACTGTGACAGAGCCATTAAGACACATTCGTCGGAATATATGTTCTATGCCCAAGTGGAGTAACGATAGCACTCGTGTATGACAATGTAATGAACCGAAATTAATGCAACAAATGGAACTTGAAATTGGAGCAACTTCATGACCACAATTGGCCTGCGTATCCATATCCAGAAAAGGCAAACCATTTGACAGCTGCCCCATGGGGCGGGATTGCGATGGGGCTTGGGGATTTGGGGGTGGGCGAAACCCCAGTAAGTCAGGTAAAAACTTTTATCCGTCATAAATCGTTGGACCAGAACGAAGTTGACGTCTCCGTTTGTTTTCTTCGCCGACTTTTCTCTTTGGTTTATCGAGGAGTCTCGCTAGGAATTTCACTATTTTTAAGTTTTTACTCTTCGGGGGTTACATGCGGTTAATTGCTTTGTTTGCTTTCGATTATCAAAGACGACACTTGGATCCACAGTTACCAAACCAACATTCCGATTCAATAACTATCCCATTGTTAAGTTACTGTATCTACGAACCTGACGAAAGTCCTATGGCCACATAGGAGTACCAAGATATCATTCCAAGTGTATGTAAACTTAAATATATTTACCTTTATTAAAACAGCAGAGAGCCCAGATCGCACAATATATCCATTGGTGGTTTATCCGCATTTTGTACAGCGATGTCATACAGGATCAGCAATTAAGTTAGTTGATAGTATATCAGCTTTTCAGAGCCACATAACACTTCCACACAAATCATGAAAACAAGATTCAACGCAGTCACTTCACTGGATGTTCTTTAGCACTTTCCATACTCCATTTGTAATGCTCTTGTTTGGCCGAAACGTATTTTTCAGTTTAGCAATAACTTTGCGTTTATCAGCGATGTGCCATAAACGTTCGCAAATTGAATTTATGTGCAACTTTTCCTTTGTCTAGCGCTGTAATTGGCAAAATGGCAATTTGAAATGGATAATGCTGGGGGTTCGTGGGGGCAAGCAGAGTCTTCTAGATTATTACAAGATTATTAGATAGACAAAACACTCTGGCACAGAAACCAAAGCAACTGGAACATTAGCACTCCCCAGCGCCCCACCTTCTAGCAACTGAAAGTTGTTCTTCATCTGCAGCATACACACAACCCCCAACCCGACCGCTTCCTTTGCCCCATTGTCTTCTGGTTGTGGGGCAAATGTCGCACACATGTCACCTCCAAGTTGCGCGTTTGGGTCGCTTGCTCGGTTGCCACATTGTTGTCACCAGCGGAATTGGCGACATTCAATTCCGCCAGAAACTCCAAGAATAACACAAGCAAACAGGGGATGATTCTTTTCCAAACCGCAGCTTGGAATTCTCTATTGGAACAGAAACTATTTATGTAACCTTATTCTTCAATCTCCCTAGTGTCGTATCCACTCAGTATAGTCTAGTTATCTTGGGATAATGTAGATCAAGTTCTCCCATATAAAATGAGTATGCAGAGCGGTCTAGCATACCTTTATGGATTTAAAGAGTATATAGACAACAGCAGCCACTGAAGACGGTGGCAATGTTTTTGTTTTTGTTTTTGTTTCCTTGGTTCCGGTATTTTTGAGCCAGTGGAAGAATTTCAAACGCCCGTTTACACGGCCCAAAGGAGCTTCCTCCTGGCCAGGATTTATGGCATACCACAGCAGGTGGGTGGGCGTTTGGTTGTGGAAAGTGCGGGGAGTGAGAGGCGTGTTGCATCGCTTGATGGCTGAATCCGGAGGTTTGGGGGACAGACAAACATTTGCATACAAATCGGCCGCTGGCCGTTGGCCGATGGCGAAAATGAAAACGCAAACGCTTTTTTGACCGGAAGCCCGCGGAAGCGCACAAAAAAGTCATTCACCTGTGTAAAAACGGTTACATTTTCCAATATTCGCCTGGGCCGCAGACTGTGAACTTGTTTTCCCCAGGGGCTTTTCATTCGCATAAGCTCGTAAACTATAAATCAGCACAAGGGAGATTTAATTGGGGACAATATATGGATTCCGGTAATGACTGCAAGTGGGTAGCTCAAATAAGTTGAAAAGGAAAGTAGTGCATTAAAGGTGTTAACTGGAAAACATTTCCCCAACATTCGATACAAAACCAATATTAACACTTTTTTGAAAAACTGTTTTTTAGATACACTTAAAAAGGCTGCTAAAGTCAAATGTTAAAAAAAAGCAATCACTACTGAGCTGCTCAGTATATAAAGTATATATACTTTCTTTAAATTGCTATTCCTGTTTCACATGACTCATGATTTTGAAACTTTGAACTATTTGCTTCGCCGTAGTTTATGTTTTACAAACACGCACTTAATCCTTTTGTGGGTTTTCTTCCAGCTGCACCAAATGTAGTTTATTTCATTGTATGAACGCGATTGCAAACTGACAAAGAACCAAGTTGGCCGAAACGCTTTCAGTTAGTACTGCGCAGCGCTGAACGAGCTCCTCGCATCGCGATCCAAACACAAACTGATTTTCCATAATGTTGCCAAAGTCGCGCCCCTAACAACCGACGGCAATAAAAGCAGCAACAGCCTGTGAAGCCGGTGTGCGTTGGACTTGTGCTCACTATCAACATGCATGCACACATGCGGACAGTCCGGGCCACAATAGTAGGTCACAAAAGTAGTTGGGCTTCATGAGGTTTCGCAAGAAACCATCAAAATTGTGGAAAACCCTCTAAAGTGAGATATAAAACACCCTGAATCTGCATTCGTTGCTACATTCAATCATTTCGATATCGTGAAGTATTGAACAAATGGGGAAAGTAAAGTGTGTTGCTTAAGTAATTGTATTCAAACGGAAAGCATAAACCAGAATTAACAGAAAATGCTAAATAGTTATTTACCTTAATGTTGAATTATGTATTTCATTCGCCTGAAACTACAGTTTTAGATGAGGAAGCAGGCTGGCTTTGTCCAGCACCTACTATTTTGACCGCTGCTGTGGCTAAACGGTGGAAGCCTCTCTTTTACTTGTGTCGAAAATGTTTCCACATCACTCGTCAAGCGTTTCGGCTGGAAAGCAGCAAGAAGCAGCCAGAAGCAGCGGAAAGCGGCGGTGGGGCAGTGCCATGACAACAACAACAGCTTGCCGCCACTGCGCACGCGCCCCAGCTGGAAGTGATGAGTGGCTTCCAGGGCTTCCAGTGCAGGAATCCTCTCCTGCGTCTCTGCGTTGTGCTCCACTGAGCCGGCTGTGCAACCCCTTTCGCTCGCTTCGGAGCGCCTCTCTCTCTCTCTCTCTCTCTGTTTACATTGCGTGGAGTAGCCATGGGAACCAAGGCGGCGTCCTAGCCGGCACCCTTCCAGGCTCGCCTCCAGCCCCTCCACCTGTACACCCATCTAGCCATCCACGAATCCACCTTCGTGACTCAGCCCCAGTGACATTGCATTTGCATGTGACTGCCGCTAATTGCTGTAATTCCCGCGCTGGACTTCGACTTCTACTTCCACTTCGCCGGCACATAATTGCACTCTCCTGCTCCGATGTCCTTCCTCCTCCTGTACAGTTTCGTGCCAGGCTTTCCTTGTTCTTGTGGCTTCCTTTGCTCACATTCAAACTTCGAGTGGTTTTTTGGGACACGCTTTCTTTGCCGTTTTTGCTTTCCTTCCGGCACTTTTGACTTACTTTATGGCCCGGTCGATTATGCTCGCCTTATCGGACTTTAAATGGGTCTGCAGTTCTGTAGGGGTTGCATCTGCTAATGCGATTTCTTGATTGAAAATACATTTCCTTTCACGATAAGGATACTAACTTTTAACACTACATCTTAAGAAGAAATCACTGAAAGTACTGTACGGATTTATGGCAGCACACTGAATCCATTTGAAAGTAAAAGTATTATAGCACTCCATTTTTAAATTAAACATTAAGTCATTGCTTTATTATAATAACTACAGTAAACAAGAGCTAGAAGGGACTGAAAACATATTCTGTCTGTTGAAAGATATAAATGGGTTGGGTTCTGTAACAGAAAAAAAAAGATTTCCTAGTTGAATGACGTGTAACAATATATAACTATTTTGCTCTGCTGAACGTTCGAGCCTCTGTCTGTTATAAAAAAAGTATCTAAAAGTATCTTAAGTAGAGACTGTAGAGACTCTTAGTTTGGCATGACTATTCTCAAGTCTCGTTGAGAAATCTTCTTAGGATCAAGCTTTTGGTTGCTATCCTAAATTAATGACAAAGTGTATGCTTTACGCAAAGAGCATTATTTTTGCATCACAAGTACTTGGCATCTTAGCTATCGTATTCTATGGTTTGGCTGCGAATTTCATTCGAACTCAGCTTACAATTAAATGAAATATTAACGTAGTAAATTGGCTAGGATTACAATTCGGTGTGCTTGGGCTTGTTGAACAATTTCTCGCACAGTTTGGCCAGCATCTGGGACACCTCCAGTCGGTATTCGTCCGTGCTGTTGATATACCGATTGCGAACGGTTAGCAGGGCATGCCTGAGACCGGAACTTTGCGACCACGTGCTGATGCACATATCCTCGGTGGTTTCCAGCCCAGTGGCAAACTGTTCCACCACCTCTGGTTGCTCTAGGAGGTGCAGAAACTCCATGGTCAGCACAGTGTCCAACGCCGAGCAGTAGCCCTGCGTTTTCAGCCAGGGCTCGAACTCCAGGAGCACATATTGCGCCATCGTCGATGAGGCTTCGGGATCATCTTTGCCGGCCTCCAGCACTGATCGCTTCTCCAGCACCAGGTCACTTATGAGGGTCACAACCTTCGCTTTGCTCCGCAGCTCCACATCTGGACTCTGGAGCACCTTTAGTAGAGCTTGTGTACCTGAGGTAGAAAGCACTCGCTGCTGGGCTAAAGGAAATTTCCGCAACAGAGCTCCGAAGGCGTGCAACGCTGCGGAGATCTCACCGCCATTTACGGAGCTGGTCAGAATCTGGGCCAGATGGGAGCCGAAGTTCTTTTCGAACACCTTGATCTGGGCCTTGGGATTGTTGCTCGCCAGCGAGCCCAACACACGCATGGCCGACACCCGCAAGGAGGTATTGGTATCGTTGACCACAATGGGCAGGAGTACATCTTCCAATCCCCCATTATCGATAAACATCAGGGCATTGTCTATCTGATGGAGCAAATACTCCAGATTCTCCAGGCAGTCCAGCTTGGGGCGCATCTCCGACTCCAGCGGCGTCCTGCTGAAGTTCCGGTACTGATCGATCAACTGGACGATGAGCTCTCCGTCCGTGCGAAAGTTCTTCTGGAACTCCTTGTACGCTTTGCGTAGCTCGGCATAGCTCTTCTTCTGCTCCTTCACTCGGCGTATGGACTCCTCGATGATGTCCGGCTTGTAGTCCAGAGCCAGTGGTTCGTTGTCATCATCTTCTTCCCGAGCCTTCTGATCATCCGGTTGACTCTGAAGCGCCGTGCCACGTTCGCTTTCGTCCAAGAGCTTGGCCTCCTTCACCCCAGTTTGTAGGTTGATGCGCACGTGGAGGCCCCTGGGTATGGCTTGACCTGGAAGTATGGAATGTCCACTTAGTACACGTCATCCGAGAGTTAATCCAGCAGGCCAGCAGTTACCTTCCCCAATCGTCTGCCACTCATCGGTGGCCACGAATTCACTGGTCTTGTTCTCCGTTTCCGTTGCCGCTGCCACTTGCAGGCAGCCCAGGATCAGGACACTGGCCAGAAGGACGACTACCTGCTTGCCACTCATGCTGCTCCAGCTTGTCTCGCCTCCAAAATGTATACAAACTCTATTTCACCCGGTAAGAAATAAGTTTCATGAGCGTTTTTAAATCAAATTTCTAGACTTCTGATGTGGATGTGGGAATAGTGTGCCCGTAGGCAGTTTCATTGATAATACCCAAACCGGCTGTGAGTTCCGTGGGGAACCAGTGATTCGGAACCAGTCGATGACGGTTACAACTTAAATTCAAATTTGAAAATATTTGTAATTACAAAATTCGTTATAAACATTTAATATACATTCGAATCACGAATTGAGATTTATATTATTCTGTTCCGAAATCCTACTTGATATACATTAGTTTCTCTTCTTATTTCCTATATAACAAAATAATTAAATTAAGATTTAATAATTTTTTATTGCGCTTTGTACAGAATTACTATAGATGATTTCATTAACAAACAAAGTCATAGATTTTATTAAATCAACGAACACAAATATTAATATTTATACGTCTACCTCATAAACCTTATTTTGTGCTGAAAAACAAGCTAGAAATTTCCACTTTGAAATAAATATTTGGGAAGTGGAATGGAGGACCAGAAAAAATTAATGCCATTCAGAACGATCCACATTAAACCAGAATGCTACAAAAATTCCCAAATCATCGTGAATTCCTAAAAATTGAAAAGTAAAGACACTCACAAGCTTTCCACGTCGTTACAAAGCAGCTAAACTAGTTATAAACTAAACGTATTTACGGAGCTTACAAAAACCAAACTAAACGTTACTAAGCTAATAAAAACGGAATCATGTTTACGCCAGATGAATCAACTAACTGAAATTGAAATGCCAAATTAACTCACAGGGCAGACCGACGTAATGAAATAAAAGCGTGTTTGCATATATAAACATATTTCCATATCAGGCGCCCCAAAATAATCTGCTGTAATCTCGATGTCTGCGACAGCGTCTAGGAATTGGCTGCGCCAACACATCGAAGTGGCCAAAAGTGAAATATGTGGACTCACCTGGCGCCAATTAGATGGGTAAATAAACGGAATGCCGGTTTCATGACGATCGCACACCAAATATATGTACATATGTATATATTGTATATATAAAGCAATCGCAGCGCATATGCTAATTGCCGATGACGAACGCCAGGAGCCTTTAACTAGAATGGCCAAATTAAATTCACTCGGCCCGTTCCAAACGTCGCCCGTCCAATAGTTTTGAAAGTGAAGACACCTCGCCGGGCAACTTTTATCCGGCGAATCCATTATAGATGCCGTTGGAACCAGTTTGGCGTCGTCCAAAATGCCCGACGATGTCTAATTGGCTTATGCCCGGTATTGAGTTGTGTTCGCCAGAAAAAGATTTATCTTCGTATGGCCAAAACGGAAATTCAGTAGTTAGAAGCCTTGGATTGCATTCTCTCATTATATTCAATGCAAAAAAGTAGAATACAATATCATACCACAAATGAGTTTTAGATCTTTGAAAAACGGCAGTACTGAGTATCAGGGATCCTTAGCCATCACCATCATCTCCTTTCAGACTGCTTGGCCATTTAGCACACTTAGGAACTCCCCCAAAGGTTCCCCAAACCAAGTGCTGATCTCAAAGCAAACATGGGATGAATAATATACATTTGTTTACCACCTTTGATAGTACGAATTGATATTTGCACTTCATTATAAGTGCGAACAAAGCGCAGATTCCATTTTACGGAGTTTGCATTTAAAAAAAAGTACACAAGATGCCGAAATAGTCTAAATTATATATGATTCATTGTAGGAGAAGTAGAAATATATTTGGTTTTTGCTTGAAAGCTGGCTGAGTTGAACATTAAAATCGATTGAATCACTTTTGATTTCTCGCTGCCTTTTGTGTTCGCTGCCGTTGTATTTATTGTTTATTTGTCTTTGGCATCGCGAAGCCAGGCACATGCTAACAATATTAATTAATAATTTTGCTGCTGCCAGTTCTGGCTAGGGGTAGCTGCGATAAAGATAAAGACCGATGATAATGATAATGGAAATGAACACAATGTCTACTATGATGATGAGGAGAATCCATAACACGAAGCGAAAGAGATATACGAATAAATAAAAATAGCCCCCAATCAACAACAACAGGGGCCAAGACAAGTCAGGAATGAATAAACTATAAAGTGTACTGGTTGTTGTTGGCCACATATGTAGCCGCTCCAACGTTCTGGCCGATCAGAAATTTTATAAATGCCGCCGTCTGTCCAGAGCCGATTTACAGTTTGCCATTGAACCTGGTCGTGCGTTCGCCAAATCATCGAGCGGTTGAATTTCGTGCTGCCCTCACCCATAGATCCATATCCAAAATGCTGCTGCTCCAGCTTGGCTGCTTGGCCATGTTCTGCTGCCTGGCCAGCGGTGCCTCCAATTTCCGTGAGTCCTTGGGCGCCCAATCGAATCAATCCAGTGCGTTGCTAATTGGCGGCTTATCCTTGCAGCTCCCGAACTGCCCCGCTGCCATACGGGCGACACCAGCTGCATCATCAACGTGTCCCACATGCTCATCCGACAGCACGCCAGGACCGGCTATCCGTCCGCAGGATTCCCCCAGGTGGAGCCCTTCCTGGTCAAGCGCTTCGACATCTCCGACGGACGCACTGGCTCCCTCAATCTCAAGCTCAACTTTAAGGACGTGAATGTGGAGGGTCTGTCCAGCGTGAAGTTCGATAGAGCTGTGTGAGTATCAAGTGAAATAATAAGTGATTCCCTGTAAGGATTACAGCGCTCCTTTGAAAAGGGAAAAAGTGAAAAAGAAGCTACATCAAGTTCTATGATTGAATCAATGCGTATCCCATCAATACAAATAAATTAGAGATTTAAAGTTTAAATAATATATTTTTGCAGTGGCTTCGGCGCCGATCCTGCAACGAGCAAGTTTGAGATGTACGGATCGTTTCCCAAGATCGTGCTGAAGGGCAAGTACTTGGCGGATGGACGCATCCTGATCCTGCCGATTCGCGGCGATGGCGACGCCGAGATCGTGCTGCACAATCCCAAGTTCTCGGTGAAGTTCAAGCCGGGCACCCAGGTGCGCAATGGACGCACCTACCTGAGCGTGGATAAGCTCAAGGTGCTGGTGGAGCCACAAAAGTAAGTGCAGCTCAGATTGGTGTCCTTTCATGTTAAGCTGAAACACATTTGTAATCCCCCAGGATGAACATTCGGCTGGAGAACCTCTTCAATGGCGACCAGGCATTGGGCACCAACCTCAATCAGTTCCTCAACGACAACTGGACGGAGGTGTGGAACGAGCTGCACCCCTCCATCCACGTCGCCATCGCCGAGATCATGAAGAGCGTCCTCTCGCAGCTTTTCAAGCGGTTCGCCTACGAGGATCTCTTCCTGGATAACTGATCGAGAACTAGTCGTCCGCCAACCGGCATGGGCATTAGGCTAAGTGTACGAGTATTTCCTCACCAGCTATTCACACACATGTGGCGTTGCATTCCGGCCATTGACACATCATCATCGTATCTGCTAAGCTAAGCTTTAACTTGTAGAATAAACAAACATCTAAGAAAACTGGTTGTGCTTCTGCGGGGGGCCATTGTTGTTAGCTCAAGCGTGGATCTCGGTATTTCCGCACAACTGTCGCATACACTTTTTGGCCAGCAATCAGCTATCAGCAAGCAGCTCACGTGATGGAACGATTGATTCGGAATTAGCATGACAAAGGCAATATTGCTAGCTATGCTGACTACAGCTGTGGGCAGAGGTGTAGTTACGCAAGTATTAAGTCCAACTGTAGACAAATCCAGAAGAGAAAATACTCTGTATGATAAGAAAGATGAAGATACATACTACAAGATCTGTACATGTATTTCCTTTTTGGATGCAACTAATTTTCCCTAAAGTGCACTGACTTATTCAAGCATATGGTATGATCTATTAGGCTTAGAGTCAAGAAATTTTGGAGCTTCGGATGCTGCTGTTAAAACATGCCACAAAAATCGAGATAGGTTCATATAAATAATATAACCAAATGGAAGTGCTAGCAGTGTGAGCCCAACTGTGCTGTCGCTTTTCGAACTCATTGCGGTTCCACTGGCCAAGTTCAAGAGTAGCCAACGGTAAAGCTGCACTCCCAATCCCAGGGAATCGGACACCCGGTTGGCCTTGGGTCAGTGAAAATCTTCCACGAGTCAATCAACTGCAGCGAATCCCAGCGAAACAAGTTGCTTTTGTTCTCCTCCACGGGGGCTGGGCCCCAAAGCGGGACACTTGCTCATTAAGTTAACTGAAGTCCAGGACCTGTTCCCAGCTCCACGAGCTCAACTGCCCTTCTTCCTGCGCTCCGATGCCCATGGAAGAACTAACTAAAGAACTGGTGGTCACGATGACTGCGTTGTTTTCGCATCTCAATTGGGCTATATTTGGAACTGGCCCTTTTGTAAGTTGCCACTTAGCTTTGTTATAGGCGAACTTAATAGCACGACTTTTAATTGGACAGAATCTGTCTGATACTTCAATTGAGGGAGCGGACTCTTCATGTAACCGATCGATGAAGATTGAACTGAATAAGAAGATTTGCTACATGGTCTACTTGCTATGTGAATTGCAGCTTACTGACCCCATTAAATGTTATATAGTTTATAATAAATGTTATGTAATTTTAGCAAAGCTCTTTTACATAATACATTCTGATGATTCAGTTGCTTTTCGTTATTTGATGATGCTGAAACGAGCTCTAGAATTGACAGCAGACGATTACGCCACAGATAAAAGCAATATCAAAGGTTGCCATTAGACGTTATTTGAGTTGCACTTAGTGGACCACTATAAATACTAGATGAAAATCCCGTTCGTATTCAGTAACTTAAAGTTATAGACGTGTTAGCATGCTCGGAATCGCTTTGGCAGTCGTTTTGTGCCTCTTTGTGTCGGTGGAAGCCAAATTCCGTAAGAATCGATTGAACAGCATACGGAAATATGTAAAAAGTCCTTTAACACAAGACTTAAGCCTGTCCAAACTTAGTTGAAATCTGGGAAACTCCGATTCCTTTTCATCCTAAAAAATCCTTTGTGTACCCCGCAGCCGAAGATCCAAAGCCGTGTAAGTACGGCGATGGCGAATGCATCATGAAGCTGTGCAACACCTTGTTCAGCGAAAGCTCTTCGACGGGGGATACTGGTCTGAACCTGGAGCAGTTGGATCCCCTGAGAGTGGACAGCATGGTCATAAGCCAGGGAGAGAGCTCCAGTCCCGTGGGCATAACGCTGACGTTTACCGACAATTTGCTGTACGGCATCAAGGACCAACGGATCGTGAAAGTGAAGTAGGTGCAGGCAGACACACACACACATGGATATGAAGTGTATAGGTCGTACCTTGATCTTTGCAGGGGATTCGGAAGAGATCTCACCGCCAAGCACGAGGTGAAAATTGTCACGAAAACCTTCTCACTGGTTGGACCCTATAGCATCCAGGGCAAGGTACTGATTCTACCCATCAGCGGAACTGGCCAGAGTAACATGACTATGGGTAAGCTCTGCTACTTGAGTTTCCAGAATTCGAGGCACTACAAATGCTCTCCAGTTAATGTCAGGGCAATCGTTAGCTTCTCGGGCAAGCCGCTGGAGAAGAATGGGGAGACCTACTTGGACGTTACTGACCTGAAAATAACGATGAAGCCGGAGTCCAGCCACTACCACTTCAGTAATCTGTTCAATGGCGACAAGGCGCTGGGCGACAATATGAATGTCTTCCTCAACGAAAACTCGGAAGCCATTTATAAGGAGACGGCTAAGGCAATTGACCGATCCTTCAGCAAACTTTACCTGGGCGTCGTCAAAGGAGTGTTCTCCAAACTGCCGTATGCCAAGTTTTTTGCTGACGACTAATCAGCTTTTTAAAGTTACTGATCGCCAGCTCTAGTTGAAGTTGTTTGCGTACTGACAGTTAGAAGTTTTTAGGCTAGCAATCATCATTAGGTTTAATGGAGTTCGTGATTCGCATTCGAGTGTGGGAACCAGTAACTACTATCAAACTATCTTAGCGAAATATTCTGTAAGTGTTGTGTGGCAATAAAAGTTATATATAGTTAGCACATTGTAAATTTTAATTGCTTCAAGAAATCGTTGTAAAGTACCATTAAAATTACGACTAATTAAGTTATAGAGTTTAGACTGTGACTGGAACGGAGACTTTAAAGATCAAGGAAAGCCTGAAAGTATGTGCTATTTCACCCGATCATTCAGTTAATCTCCATCTGGAAAAAGCAGTTACATTAAGAATGCTCGAACCCCTTGGTAAGCAATCTTTGTTGACTTGGCCATTAATTAAAAGTGTCGAAAAAGGCTGAAACGGGAATTAATGTGCGTATTTGGGAAGGCCGGTTCAATTTGCATACATATATCGAGCAATTGCATCCAAAACGTGATTAGGAGCGATGGGATGGACGGGGTCGATGCCTGGCCTGGTGGGACTGTAACCCAACGGGTTCAAGTTCAAACTGGGAGTTCATTAAAGGGAATCGTAAAGTAAATTCGCCGGCCATAACAAGCCACTTTGCCGGACAGCCAGCCTGCCGGTTTGGCTTATAAACCATTTAACTGACTCAACTGCTGGCGGGCTAAAGTCAAATTCTGTCACGCTGAAACGCAAAAGCGGTTTACGGCAACAAAAACATGATGCATTTCAATTGACGAAAGTGACTATATAAGTGCCATGTCCGTGGCTAAATGGATCAGTACTCAATTGTGTTCGCGGCCAGCAATTATGGAGCTAACTCTCGCCCTCGTCCTGCTCTTCGGATTTTGGTCCACATATGGACATGCCTCCGATTTACGTGAGTTGCACAGCCCTTTCCCTAATATATGTACACATGTTCCTCAACCGCCAAGCCCCAAATTGCAGCCTCGGGCATCCAGAGGTGCGCCATCGTGGACGAGCAGTGCCTGGAGAACGGGGTGAACTACGTGCTGAGGAACTACGCCCAGAGCGGCATCAAGGAACTGGGTTTGATCCCTCTTGATCCGCTGCACGTCAAGAAGTTCAAAATTGGACGCAATCCGCACAGTCCGGTCAACATCGATCTGAGCTTCCACGAGATGGACATCTTGGGTCTTCACCAGGGAGTTGCGAGGCGCGTGAGGTGAGCTGATCTCTATTTACAGCATTTGGTCCTTTCCTAACTTTATCCTGTTTCAGTGGATTCACAACTGATCTCAGCCGCCCCATTGAGCTGGTCATGGATGTTCCGGAAATTGGAGTCAGAGGACCCTACTCAGTGGACGGAAGAATACTAATTCTGCCCATTACCGGCAAGGGCAATGCCGACATCCGCCTCAGTAAGATTTGACTAATAATGCTTGGAAATGTACAACCTTAAGTGTATTTTCCGAATCCACAGCTAAAACGAAGGTACGTGCTCTGATCAAATTCAAGCCCATCTCCAAGGGCGATCATCAAACCTACGCCGAGGTGGTGGACATCAAGGTTGAGCTGGATCCCTCCCATGTGACTTACCATCTGGAGAATCTGTTCAACGGGCAGAAGGATCTGAGCGAGAACATGCATGCCCTTATCAACGAGAACTGGAAGGACATCTTCAGTGAACTGAAACCGGGCATTGGAGAGGCCTTCGGTCTGATAGCCAAGTCTGTGCTGGACAGGATCTTCGGTAAGCTGCCGTTGGAACACCTCTTTGTAGTCTAAGACCTTAGTACAAACACTTTAACAAGCCGAAACACAGTCGTGAATATTTATTTGAGTTTCAAAATACAAATGCAAAGCAAATAGTTCTCTGGCAAGTTCCTCATACAAATAAAACGTAGTTGCAAAATAAATTCAGGCACTGAAGGATTTCTTATCGCTAGACTTTAAGTAAAATAAAGATTTATAAAAGTGAATAGTAGCCTCGTTTGTAAGTTTGTCAAATAAATGTGGACACATTTAAAATTTTTCGTACATTTTGATTGTTGTGTCTTGGATTGTACAAATTTGTAATCAATAAAACCTAAGTTTTACTTTATTTTGATTGCGGTTGTATCGATTTTACAAATACTTTTTAAATAGCTACATTTTATATTCAAGAATATCCGTTATATCCGTTAAAAGATATATACGAAATCGATTTCGTTTGAATTTGATCGCTTTGAATTATGGAAATGCTTGTTATACTTTTCTTTCAAAAATATATATGTATATGCACCCATGTAAGGGGTATTATTTTAAATTGCCCATTTGTAGCCATTCTTTTATCGATTTACTCAGCTGCATTTTAGCTTCTGAAACGCGGAAAACGTCTGCTGTGGCGAGGCGGCGATGATGGCGCTTCCTCAAACTCCTCGATCTCCTCCTCCGACTGTGACTCCTCATTCATGTTCACTGCGCCAAACTTTTGTGGCCCGCAAATGGCGACAACACTGGGCGGGAAATAGGTCTCCGGACTCGCAAGGAGAGCGGTAAGAAACTCCTCGTGCTCCATGGCGCAACAGACGGCACCATCCAGATTATATCTCTTGGCGATGAACAGCTCCTCCACACTGATCCCACGCGGTTTTGCGGCCCTCAACTCGGCACCGGCCAAAAGAATGGCTCGCTCGGTCAATGACTTGTGGCTTTCGGTCATGGCAGCCGAATAGCGATGCTCAAGATCCATTTCCCAGTTAAACACGTGCACACTGAGATGCGCAGCCTTGAGCCACTCGCGCAGGCCAATCAGCGAACTCTCCAGTCGCTGAGCATTGACTGTAAATAGTAGAATCGTTGCAGAAAAAACTGAATGTCTGCTTAAACAAAGATTAGCTTACACTTGGCTGAAGTGCTCAAAAAGTTTCCGTTTCGATGGCGCATTTCGATGCTTAGAAACCGCTTAAAAGTCTGCAAATAGGATGCGGAACCCTTAAGCAATTTGTCACACTCGTTGTACTTATCGAAATCAAAGTGACGATTTGTCTCCAAGGTGCGGCGCTGCTGACCAAGAAAGCGCTCGACTTTGGTGCACAGCACCTGCAGTTGGTAGCGCACATTCAGGCTTTTTGGCATCAAGCTCTTGACCGGCATATCGAACAGGTAATCCGAGGGCATTGAGTTTTGGCGCGAGAAGCCCAAGTCGGCGGCCAGGTGATCATGCAAGGACCTAAACAGATTCATCAAACGCAACACGGCGTTGTGCTCTATGCTATTGGTTACAAAAAGGGGCTGTTCATATGAGCTATAGTTGGGGTACACTACACAAGACTCACCAATCGCCGTGCAGACCAATCAGACGCAGTTTCTCAATAGTTATGGGCTGCACCGAAGACGAACCGTCTTGGCAAGACTGGTTCCACGCGTTCTCCTTCTGCAGCTGCTCCTGCTTTGGCCCGGTAACCAACAGGAAAGCTGGCGGAACTGGGGGTGCTCCGGGCCGCGATTTCTTGGCCGGAGCACCACCGATTCTGAACTGGCGTGAACGCTTCTGCAGCTGTTGCAAGCATGCCAGGCCGTGGAATTCGAGGCGCGGTGCAGCGATGTCGCACAACCGGAGTCTACCGAAGTTCTCCTGCATTTCGGACAGGACGCTCGACGAGCAGCTGGCACCATCTTCGTCCGAGTCCTCGGAGTCCCAAGTGGACTGCATCGGGGCTTCGTTTTCATTGCATTCCAACATAAAGGCCAAATGCTCCTCCATCTGCCTGAAATTGAGATCCAATTGCTGGTCGTCGTTGCCCGCAGGACCCACGTCACGTGCATTAAACATCCTTTCCAATCGAAATCACTCAATTTACGCGATTTTTTTCAACTTTTTTAATGTGTATTCTGTGACAGTTCTTTTTACCGTTTAATTTGGCGCGACGCCACGCAGTCTGCGATTTCAGAAGGAAGAGGAAGAATTGTGGCGTCCGACGCTTTGTTATTGGGTTATCGATAACATATCGAGTTCCGTCACAGGGCTGCCTTCGCACCAAGGAGTATTCATGTTATGGTCACCTCAAAGGGTCATTGACCCGGTCTCTTTAAAGAAATTTGAAATGAGAAGCAAAATTTCATTACGAACTTTACATTCCTAATTCGAAATACACCACACGTGGTGGGCAAAACACAATCCAAATGTATAATTGATTTTATAAAAAAATTGCTACAATTTATGACACCTACATCATAGGTATTTATTGGTTTTTGTATAAAGAATGACAAAACATTAATAACCAATTTGAAATTTTTATTGTTCCATCAAATGTTATTTAACTTGACAATAGAGAGTTAGCAATAAAAACTTATTCCCATTTTCTTATTGTAATTGATTTTCTAATTTTGAAGGTAAGCTTTTAAAATTGCGGGTATGTTCAGAATACAGTATGGCAGCCCCACTGACAAAAATCTGGCAGCTCCGTCCATTAGACTTCCTTAGCGCTGGCACAACCCAATATACATTATACATTTTTTGGTTCGGAGGTTGACTAGTTTAACAACGTGACTAAAGAAAATGCAAGCCCCGAATCAAACTTCAATAAGCATTTCAACGAATAACGAAATCCGCTCCCTAGCTTGATTTATTCCATTTTATTTATTTTGGCGCTCGGCCAAATAAATGTAAATAAAAATATCCAAAGATTAGATAACTAATGCAATGCAATACATTTTTTGAATGAATGCCGCCTAATGCCCAATCTGTAGAAGCCTCGTGATGTTAGCTTTCACAAAATCCCGATTTTAAAGCCTATGAAACATTCTTTATTGTTGTGAAGTCAATCAATCGTTAGATCTAAGCATAACTAGTGAAAAATTCCTGAAGTTTTGCCGCACAAAAGGGTATTTGCACACACAAGAGCTTCCACATGAGTTGCAATATGGGCGGTTGGTATCGGGAAACCCAAGCGATCGAGCTCCACTATCTATCCTGTTGGCAATTATCCACTTTCTATAAACAAATACGACAAGAGCTGTTTTTTTTTTCACTTAGCCGACCACAACATCGTTAATTCTTTAATTCACAAAGCACATTGAACCAAAGGACCGCAGCAATTGAATTACAAGCTTTCTCTCGTTTGGGTTCTGTGGTTTCTTTACGTTTTATAGTTTTTATTAAAAAATTAATAATTTGTGGTTCATCGCGAGTCCCATTTTACTGTGGCTTCCTGCGGAAGGAGCAGCCTGCAAAAAAGACGAGAGTTTTAAGTTAATTGAGAAGGAACATTGGTGCACTGAGCATGCGGAGCACATACCTTCTGTCAGCTTGGCGCGTCCTCCAGTCGGCTGGCACAGAATGGTTGCGCATCCGGCGCAGACCACGACGCCCTGGGCGTGGCTGAAGACGGTGGTGATCCTGTAGCAGCCGGGGCACTTCACGTCCATGAAGTACGAGTTGGGGTGCTGGACCAGGCGCTTCAGCTTGTGCTTGCGCTTCTCCTCAGCGGGCAGAGGGTGCAGAAGATCTTTTGCTAGCTGCAAGTCAGATAATCAAAAGTTCAAGGATTAGAATAAATTCAAAATAAATTTATTATGATATAATCATATAGATGAGTACGGCCAAGTGTGATGGAGCACTTTGGCCTAGTTAAACCTTTTCAGATCCTAGTCACAAGTAGAAGGTTATTTGGCGCCAAAGAAGTTGGTCCAACCTTGATAATAAGAAGTACCGCACCAATAATATAATAGCTTGCAATAATCTATATTTTTGTTTTATAAGATTATAAGCACTGCGATCACCAAGTACTGGATTAACAATTAATTTAAGAAATAGTTCACAAAAAAGGTTAGAACTGAATATATTGTTGTAAGGCCACTTGAGGATTTTCAGCCAGCCAATTGCCACATTTTCTCGCGGTGTATCAACAAATGCAGAGCCCAGGCTCCAGGCAACAACAACATAAATTCGCCAATTCGTGTTCTAGGTTATGTGCAAGGATACCCGTCAATTTCACATGGCAGTGCAATCAATTCCCCGTAAAAGTCCCAAGAACTCCATTCAGTTTCACTTGGCCATTTCACAACTGTTTGCAATTTCACTGGCGCACGCCATGCGTGGCTTGTAACGCACACATTCAATGGAAGCGGGCCAGACATTTGTTTTACAGCCTTTACGGGCGGTTTTTATCGGCCCACACTCGCTCCATTCACACTTGACACTTTGGCGGTGACAACCGACCGCTTTTGGTTGTCATTCGGTTGAGTTTTCTGTGTTTAAAATCAATTTTAGCGCAATTCGGAACCCACCGGCATGTTTTTTCTTTCACAGCTAACACGGAAAAGGAAGTGGGGTAAATCGCAGCCAACTTAACTTGCCCGAAAATGCACTAAATAATGCTGAACAGCTGAGCGGTGGCAACCCTACCGCGCACACTATCCAACACTGGAATGTGTGTTTTTTGAGTTCAAAATTTCTGCAAATAGAAAGATATAATAGGAAAAATGGCAAATATTTTATAATAAGCAAACGCTGCACAGTCGATATTGGACATAAATAAGTTTTCTATCATTAAACTTTTCGTGTAATTGTATTCTTCACTTAAATGTAGCATAGCTTCTTTTTAAGACTAGGGATTGTTTAGTACAACTTATCAGATAAGCATTAATTATAATGACGAATATCTAAATTTGTTTTCACTTTCTGCTTATCGAAAGCGTAAGATCTTGGAAAATTCTTCAACTGATTTTTGGTCATACTGAAATAAACATTTTTTGGCGCCGGCTAATTGTTGCATTTATCCCAAGGTAGAAATATAGAAATATGCGATCTGTTACCGAGCCCGATCACAGCATCCAGCTTAATGAAGCCATCCAATGCTACGAGATCTGCACCAATGACTTTGCCTACAACCTAATCGCAGTGGCTTTCAGAAAACACTTGAGTCTGCTGCTTGTTGGACTGCCGGTGGGTGTTTGTTTATACATAAAACCAGTAAAAGTTGAATGATTCTGAATGGTTACCCCTTAATCCGCAGGAGGAGAGCGGCGAGTTCGGGTACACACACCTCCAGGACTTGGACCTGGCCGATAAGGAACAGCTGTGCGTGAGTGCACTGGCCTTTTCGCCGGACACCTCGCTCAACTGCACGCCCAACAATGTGACTTTGTGTGCGGCCAACGGCAGCCAGCTAAAACTATTCCGCACCGATCTGGGCCAGTTCAGCACGCTCCAGGTGCTCCGTGGGCATGCGGACTACGTCAACGATGTGTCCTGGGTTTGCGAGGGCGAACTGTTGGCCTCCGTCAGCGATGACTTCACCTGCAGATTCTGGACGACGGCTGGCGGCGGGGAGAATGTCATAACCTTTTGCCTGTCCTCCGCTGGAATGTCTGTCAGAAGTCACCCCGAGGATCCCAACAAGGTGCTTGTGGCGGAGAAGAAGGGTATGCTTGCTACGATTAGTGCTGGGCATGTGGTGTAACTAAGGAATCTCCTTGCAGGCATCATTCATCTCTACAATGTAACGATCAAGCAGACAGTCATCTCAGTGGAGTCGCCCAAATTCCCCCTTATGTCTGCTGACTGGGCCCACAGCAACAGGCTTTTCATCACCTCGCTGGCCGGCGGGGATGTGGTCACCTGGGATCTGAACAGACCCTATGTGCCCGCGGATGTCAAGCAGGTCCACGAGGATTGCGGCCGCGTTGTGCGCTTTGCGCCTGGCAGCTCCGAGATGGTCATTGCCATGATCATCGGGCTAACACTCAAGGTGTTCGCGGCCAAGTCGACGGTTCCTTTGCTGGAGGCTTCCCTGAAATCCTACGGCGGAATGGTCTGGCACCAGCGATTGCCGTACATTAGTGCGGTCTCAGATAGGAAGCTGCTCTTTTGGAAAGTGCAAATGAAGTAATTTATTAAAATAATATAAATAATAAACAAATGTCGTTAGTGTAAACAAGTTCAAAGCTTATGGGGGCATTCTTTAATTTTTTATTTAAAGCCGTTCTATTTGTTAATTCTATAAAAGCAATCGACAAAACCGAAGCAATCGATAGTCGATGGTCAAAACATCAGTGCCGCGATATTTTCGCGCCCATCGATGGCAATCATCGTTTTTTGTTCCAGCGCTAAGTCTGCACGTATTTTGTTGGTTTCAGTGCTCTTGAAATTAGATTTCAGTGATATATACGTTCTGATCTGCACCGAAAACGAAGCTTGTTGCGACTGGAATTGCCCATACGGAGTTACGTGATTTTCCGGCCGTGGCAATTAACCGTTCGAGGAATCCGCGTCGATCGGATGACGAGTGAGAGTAGAATCGAGCGCGAAGCACATTTTTGCGAGGTCTCATCCACTGCGAATTAAACGTGTTTAAAATAGTACAGATATGTATTCAACGCGAAAAGAGGTGGACGCACATGTCCACAAGTTGTTGGGAAAACTTCAGCTGGGAAGTGAGGTAAATAAACGCCAAAAATGTTCATCGGAATTTCCAAAGACAAAAGAAAATCAGTTGCGAAATCTTCAGGCGCCGCCATTGAAAGCGCGCCTTTGTGTGCGTGCGGCGTCTGCGTGTGCTTGTGTGTGTGTGCCGGCGTCACTTGGCCGTCGTTTTTGTGAGTGAATAGGAAATTGCGCGCTTTTCTTACAACGACTGAATTTCGTATACTTGCCAAAGACATCGCTCTTCGCTCAACTGCATTGGTTTCCTCTTCTCTTTGTAAATCAAAATAGATATTTGAGGTTATGTGTTGGTGGCCACCGGCCGCTCATATCACTCAGCATATACAGTGAGCACTAAATATGTGGAAGGCTAATCATACATAACGGAATTTCGAATTATCCTTGGCGGTCTTACGTTAATCTATCTACATATGTATATAATAGAATTAATAGAAGTTTAAGCATGCCATTAAGCATACTCCTACAATGTTTTTCAAATCCCGCCCAAAATGCTTGTCCAAAAATCCTTTTTCAATTTAACAGAGTTTTTGAACGAATACACTTTTTTGAACAATTACTAAACGAACTAATCAATAAAACTAATTCTAGCGCGATGTCAAAGGCTTGGCGATAGCTCGATTGTACAGTAAAATTCAGGAATACCCAAAGGCTATCGAGTATTTGAACGGCTATATCCGGACGAGGGACGACACAGTAGGCCATAATATGATTGCCACTTGCTACAGTAGGCTGAATCCGCCCGATGTATCAAAGGCGCTGCAACACTATCAACGTTCCATTCAACTCAATCCGCGGCAGTCAGAAGTGGTCGTGGCCGCCTGCGAACTACTGTTGAAGGAGAACAACGCATTGATCAAGGAGTCCGCCGGGTACTGGTTAGATCAGGCTGCTAGTCTTGATTTAGGCGACAATCCACAAGTCTACACCCTGCGAGTGCGGGTGAATCTCAAGGAGAGCAACGGTAATGCCGCAGACGGCGATGACATAACGATGGAGATGCTGATGCACAAGGAACTGCAGGCGCATCCCGAGGATGTGAATATACGTATACAACTGCTGCGCAGCTATGTGGAAAAAAAGAAAATTGAACAGGGCTTTAACTACGCATTCAAAACGGAACTTGAGTCCAAAGGCTGCACGAGCCAGTCGAGTGACTGGTACGAGTTGGTCTGGGTGGTCATTGCGAAGCTGGAAATGGCCAAGGATGTGAAGAAGAACTGGCGATTCTGGCACTTCGCGTTGCACACCCTCGATCGCCTCGTGCAGCTAAGCCTGGAGAAGAGCAGTGGACTGCCAGAGAGCAGCAGTCAATTGTTTAGACTTGATCAATACCTATACAAGTTTAGCAATACGATAGAAAAGGATGCTCCGCAGCGGGATTTCCACCAATCCTGTGCCGACCACTATACCGGCCAGCTTCTCCTTCACGCGGTAACATTGATTTTCAAACGTGAGGTGCTGGGAAAGAAAAACAAATGGATGAGCACGCTACGCTCCGCTTTGCCCGTACTGCTCCTTGGTTACCAAATGCGACCGCTCGAAGATTCGAATGCCCACCACTGGATGAAGCACTGCGACGCGGAGCAGAAGCAAATTATGCAGATTTGGCGATCGCATGGGGCCTTCCGATGCGCCCAGCTTGGACGAACCCTTTTGGGTTGCTTGGACCGATCTCGAATGGAAATTGAAAACCACAGGGACAATGCGAACATTAATGAGAACAAAGTGTCGGGCTTGCCTGGCTTATTTGGCGACTCCGAAGAGCTGTTGGCCAGCGCTCACCAGCAGTGCTCGGACAAGAGCTGGCGCAGTCAACTTTATGAACAGCTCTTTACCCACGCCGAACACAAGCTAAAGGATACGTCATCGCATCTGGTGCGACACCCGCGTCTGCAGTTGCCCCTTTTCGAGTGGCCCAATCTGGAGCATATCGAGACCTACGAACAGCAGGCGTTGGTGCTGCCGCCACAGTCCTTGGCCCAACATGTCTACCTGGCGCTGGGCACCGATCCGAACAATTTAGGAGATGCGCCACGCGTTGTCTTTTATGAGGGTCTCCGACGTGATGTAAAGCAGAATCTAAACTACTGTGGGCACGATTCAATCAGCCAGGTGGATGTGGACCTCTACCTCTATGCCACAGTCATTCAGACCAGACGGAAATTGCAGCTGCAGCGTGAAGCGTATGACAGCTCCAATTTGGGAAACCGCAATGCTGCTACCCGGCCGCATATGATGCCATATGCTAATCTGGTGAGCCAACTAGCCGCACCGGAGCAAAGTATCTGGTGGGATCTAGTAGTGCGTCTTAACTCGGACCAGCTCACCAGTGAAGGTAATCGCGCCGAGCAGCGAGCTCAACTGCAAACTGGATTGGAAGCGGTGCGCGGCGTGAATGGCCTCAAAGCAGATGCCAACATCATTTTTCAGTTGGGAAAGATATTGAATTCCCGTTCGGATTCTTCTTCTTTAGAGACACGTATCGATACCCTGTATAGGCATGGATTTTCAATATTACGTCGTCAGCACACTCAGCAGCTGGAATCCTATGTCCGCGTCTTTAAGTACGGATCCGCCGGCTCAACTGCAGCATGGCAAGATCTTCAGTCGTTGGCCGAGGAAGCCGTCACCTATTTTAGCGTAAAAATGTTCAAAATAGGACAGTATGAACAGTTTTTGGACGAGGTCCGGGGCCTTAATCTGCCCATGGCCTACTATATGCAATCGGAGGCGTGTCGTCACCTTGAGGAATCTTCCAAGTTGCCGCGAAGCTCCCGAGTTCGTTACTCAGAGCGGAGACTGGGGTGCCTGCAGCAAACGCAAAAGTTACTCAGAAATGATGTCAAGCACCCACTCAACTTCACTATTCAACGGGATGTGCGTAGATGCCAACAGGAACGCGGTAGTCGGGGCATCGATGATAGCTTCGGCAGTCCGGATGTGCATAACAATTCATCCGCCTACGAGGATGCAGAAGACGATTTCTATTCCCTGGCAGCTTTATCTGGTAACCGATCACGTCGTCAGTTGGAAGTCACCCCAGTCACTCCCATTGTTGTGGCACAACCGAGCCAGGAGATGGAGCATACTGTCAAGCAGATCAGCAAGGGTCTGTGTGTGCTCAAGGACGATGTGAGTGTGGGAATGGAAGCCATGCGACAGGAAATGAAAGCCCTTACTGAGAAGATCACTGGGATGGAGGAGCTGCTTAAGAAGATCAAGATCAGCAGTCGAGACACGCCTACACGGGATGTGGATCCTGCAGCTGCCCTAGGTCTGGACGACCTCTTCATCATTGAGGATGCACTAGCAGAGCATCAGCAGCAGCAGCAACAACAGCAGCAGAGCCACAACCAAGGTGCAGTCCACCCAGTAGTGCCGAATCCGTATACTCCTGGCTTCTACAACGGGGTACCAAATACGCCAGCTGTTCCAGAGCGCTTCCTGCCGGGACCATACGGGAGTCCCATGTTTAACCAAAACCAGATGTACAACTACTACGCTGCTCAGGCTCAAGCACAAGCGCAGTTCTTGCGGACTCCTCCAGCTCCAGGATCAATTCCACCCCCCAATATGTTTGGTAAGCGAACGCTTTAAATTCGATTTGGAAAATGCTAATGTTGAATTTTATGTAGGTCCTCGAAATCCAAACTTTGGCCTGCCAAGTATGTTTCCCCCGCCGAGCGTGCCTTCGGTAGCACCATACATTGACGCCATGGGCAACTTTAGCCAGCCTCCGCCAAGTCTGATACCTCCACCCGCTCAGCCAGCAGCTCCCACGGCTCCCTTGAACATTCAGGAGTCCAAGCCTGTGGGTGCACTGCCAACTCCCGGATTCTTTAACTCGACAACGCCGGGCTTTGGAGTTTCGCCCATTCAAGTGCCGCAGTCGAAGCCATTAAGCGTTCCAACGGTGCCTATTCCTGGCACTGCTCCTGCTCCACCAATTGCCGCTTTGAATCCTGCGGCAACAACTGCTGGCCCGCCTCCTATTCATATTCCTCAAGTGGCTCCTTCTGTTACCGCACCCGGACCCGCCCCTGTAAGTGTGCCGTCTATGTTTAATCGTGCTTTGAACAATCAGCCCGTGGAAAAGGAGCCGCCAGCCAATGTGGTCATAACCAGTTCAGATCCATTACCGAAACCCACGACTGCCAGTGTCCAGCCTCCTTTAAGCGTGACCATCCCAGCACAGCATATCAAGCCAAGTTTGGTTCAGGCACCGGAACAACCGACACAACCGGCACAGCCATCGGTTCCAGCAGTAGGAGCATTCAGCTTTAACTTTGGCAGTAAGTCGTCCGAAAGTCCTTTTTCGTTCAAGACCCAGGTGGCTAAGGCAGCAGCCGAAAAACAAAGGGAACAGGAGGAAGCTGAGCTGAACCAAAGTTCGGCTAGTGATCCCAGCAAAACTCTGCCACAAGATACTTCAGCAGAGGATTACGATCCTCGTCCCGATTTCAAGCCCATCATTCCACTGCCCGATG